TTTTTTTTTTTTTTTTTTTTGGTACTGGGGGTTGAGCTCAGGCCCTTGGGCTTGCAAGGCAGGTGGCAGAACCACTGAGCTAAATACCCAGCCCTATAAATCTAATTTTTATTGCATTTTGAGCACTAATTTTTTTTTTTTAATTTTCATTTATTTTTCTCCCCCTGTACTGGGAATTGAATTCAAGACCTTGCACTGCCAGGTAGTCGTGGTGCCACTGAGCTACATCCCTGGCCCTGAGCGCTTATTTTTACAAGTTCACAGGATGTCCCTACTGTTGCAACTGTTTTTTCAATGGATAGGTTAATTATGTAACTTGGAGCTTTTACTGCATGTAGTAACGCCTTTGGGGACTTGCTTTATTTTGTGATAGTTCTGGTTCCATGATATAATGATGCATGTTATGAGAGGCTTCCAATTTTGCTTCTCCAGATATAATAAAAATCAATCTCAGAGAAAAGGAAAATATACCAGTTTTTTCATAGCCTCATAGATAAAATTATATACTATCATTTGTTGAATTCTACTGTGATGAAAGTTAAACTGGGGGAAGAAAATTTAAGAATAGAACAGTTGCATTGAAATACTCTCCTCATTTTATATATCATGCTTCATACAGGGAACTTTGTTTTGATTGCTTTTAAGCAAGCATCCTCCTTTCTGTTCACCATTTATTTGCTCTGATTGTGACCTGTGAGTGTTTATATGGTGGCAGATAATTGTCTCCCAACTGATTTCAGCATCACTGCTTTGTAGCTTAGATGTCATTTAAGTAGAGAGAAAGTAAACTAACAGCTTGACCTTTATTATCTGGTTCCAGAACCTAAGGTTATGAAATTACTGGTATGAAGAGTTTGATTTTATTTTTATATCATGTAACATATTTTGGGTATTTCTACAAGAGTATAATTCAAAGTGAAGTATAGTGCTATTACTTTGCTAAGACTTTTCAGATACTGTTTATTCAAACCACAAAACTGTTATTATGGTAACAGAAATTAAGAACAGAAAAATGGCAGATATATGGAGGAGCCATTTGTTATTATACAAATAACAAAAGAGAGTTATTATTCCATGAATAGTCTTTATTTCATTTTAAGGGTCTGATGTATTCTTTTTAATCTGATCTGTATTGTGTGTGTGTGTGTGTGTGTGTGTGTGTGTGTGTGTATGTATGGGTGTTTTCTATCCTTTTCAAGTTTCTATTCTGCACATTTTTAGTTTCCTGCTTGAATTAAAATTTCAACAAAATTAAGAAATAATTAGTTTGTTTAATGTGCAGTATAACATAATATTTCAGAATTTTAGAAACAGCCATGGTTTGAGTCTTGCTTTGGGCTAAATTCTCAAATTTCTTTATAAGATAGGAAAAATAACAGTTCTTATCTCTTATTGTTGCTGCGTACATGAAGGGAATTTATACACATAAAAAGCTTAGAATGGTACCTAGTACATTATGGCAGTTGAACAAAGTTTTACAATTTGGGTCAGTAAATATTTTAAGCATCTCAACACTGATTAGCATTACAATTTCTTGAGTAATGTGTAGAGAACATTGTTCTAAGATAAAGATAACATTTTAGTTGCAGTAATGAGTCCTAGTCTTGTGATTTTTTACTAGGTAATTTAAATTCTTGAAATTTAAGATTCTTTATGTGTAAGTCTTCTTCACAGTTTAATTAGTGTGTTCTCCTTTTAAAAAAAAAGACTTTTACTGTGTAAAACTTCAAAACAGGTAAAAGTAGAACATGGTGAACTTCTGTGTGCACATCATCCAATTTTAACAGTTACCAATTCATGACATTATCTGTATCTCCAGCCCATCCCTCATCTTGTATTACTTTGAAGCAAATCTCTGATCCAATCATATTTCATATAGAAGAATTTTAGCATTATTTGTAAAATATTAAAGTCTTAAAGTCATAACTATAGTACCACTATTTAACAACAAAAGTAGCAGTGATTGGTTATTCAGTAATACAGTCATCATACAGATTTTCAGTTGCTTTCCAAAAAATGTGTACACATGTGTGGATTAGACTTTGTACTTAGTTGATGCATCTTTTACATTTACTCTAATTTGTATGTTTATTCTCTTTATTTCTTGCAGTTTGTTGAAGCATCTAGATTATTCCATAAAAATGTTCAGAGTTAGTATGTTTTAGGCAGTTGCATCTTTTAGATATTTTTTAACACACTTTTTCTGTTTCCTGTATTTTTTGTAAGTTAATGGTCGCATCTAGTGGGTTAACTGTAGTTTGATTTTGGTGTGGGTTGGCAGGATGCAAGAATATTCATAGAGACAGGCGTGATGGTGCACACCTGTAACCCCAGCACTTGGGAGGCTGAGGCAAGATGACC